ACTGGGTGAGCGTGGTGCTGACAACACCAAGTCAAGGGTTAAGATCCCCTTACCGGTCATCTTAAAAAAAAAAAAAGAAGGTCAACTAATTAACAACCTTAGTTTCCCCTCGCTATGTAAAATAACATATTCTCAGGCTCCAAGAATTAGGACATGAACATCTTTGGGTGACTGCTATTCTGCCCACCACAATATGTCTTTGTATAAATGACAAATTTTCAATTCTGCTATATTAATACAGTCTACCATGTAACATGGTCCCTGCTCTCCTCATTTAGTTTATTTCATATCACAGCCTCTATGTGTCCAATACTCTAGACTTCTGTCATTTTCTCAAATGCACCATGCTCATTCCAGGCTCAGGACCTTTACTCGTGCTATTCCATTTGCCTGTTACTCTCCCTCTCTGAATCGCCACAGCTTCTCTTCTCTAGTCTACTCTTACATATCCTTCAAAGACAGTTTCCCTGACCCTGTGGCTCCCTAAACCAGAATACAGATTCCCATTATACCCCTAGTCTTTCTTCATATAATTTATCTTAGTAGCTATTAAATTGTTATCTGTGTAATTGTTTAATGAATAATTTTAAGGCATTATGAAGGCAAAGTTAAGTTATAACTTTTTCATTTGATATATGCTGAACTCCTAGCAGTGTAGTAGCTGCACAACAATAATTTATTTGCATGATTGAACATAACTCATTTAATCTTCATAACAATGTTCATTTCATAATTAAAGGTACTGAAGCTCAAAGAAATTAAGTAACTTCACCATAGTAACAGAACTAATGAGATTCCACCTGGGTTTTTCTGGTTTCCAAGCCTATCTTTTAATCACCGTGTTATTCTACCCTATTGGGGCACAAATGACCATCACCCCTAAGTCCACAGATGCTCACTAACCCTCATTCTGAAGACAAGTACTCATTACCACCTCACTTTTCTTAATGCAGTTACCTTTGCCTACTGATGTCAATGGCCCACCACCAAATGCCTTATTTCATTCCTGTTTTAAAACAGTGGCATAAGAGCAGACCTGTGAACACTTTTTTCCTTTAAAATATTAAAATTCTTTTAAAACTATTACTAAGCTTATTCTCAAATTATCAACTCGGGAAATATATGCTTTGATTTTATCTGCTTCTCTTGTAAGAATTAATGAGATTATAAAATCTGTGAACACTTCAGAAGAAATTGTATTAAACCAACAGATGCAACTATCAACTTTGGGAACCTGGTCAGGTGAATTGTTAAAATCAAAGATCTAAGAATTACACTAACATTTCTAGAAAGTTCTAGAACTGTGTTCTGTATACTCTCATTTCTGATCTCTTATGTACACAAAGGAAAGAACATTATTAGGATCATTATCTTAGAAAATATTTCCTGGACTTTCAAACAAGGTAGGTAGAATTCTATTTATAACTGCACTAGTTCTTAAGATTTCAGAAATGTGTTCTGTATACTCTCATTTCTGATCTCTTATGTACACAAAGGAAAGAACATTATTAGGATCATTATCTTAGAAAATATTTCCTAGACTTTCAAACAAGGTAGGTAGAATTCTATTTATAACTGCACTAGTTCTTAAGATTTCAGAACCCTTTATAATCTTCATATGTCTTTTCATTGGCAGAATTCACCCTCTATTTTTTAAAAGCAAAATAAGTGTATTTTTGTGACTATGAGTCAGATTATAGCTAGAAATGACTAGAAGATCTTGATATAGATTCCAAACTATTGCCTGAACGCTTTTTTCATTCACCCTCTATTTTTTAAAAGCAAATAGCTAGAAATGACTAGAAGATCTTGATATAGATTCCAAACTATTGCCTGAACGCTTTTTTCTTTTAAAAATTCTCATAATTGGCACAGATCAAAAGCCACATTTATTAAAGGATGATCAAATTTAGCATCTTATTACTTAACTTTCCAAATCAGCTATAAATCAAATTTCAACAACAAAACCATTTTACCGATACTATTGGTTGCTGTTATGATAAAAAGAAAACAGGTACGACTTTGAAATATATTTTCATTTTTTATTATGCATGTATAATAATATATTAAGTAATATTTCACAAAAATAAAAATTATTTATAATTTCGAAAACTGCTGAATTGCATACATCTCAAAATCACTAAAGAGAAAAAGTAACCAAAAGTAGAAGCAACATTAAATGAGCAAAAATCATTGGGAAAGTATATGTTGAGATTTCTTTATTTTAAAGCTAAGGGACAGAAGAGATGGTTATGTTACTGCAGGAGAAATCTGATGATTCAAAATTTCTTCCAACTACTTAGGACATATCTGATAACACGAAGAAATGTGTATGATAGGTTCATATGAAATCTGAGAACATCTCACAGGTTTTGTAATTTGTTACTATTTCTTCCATGACATTTACACAGTATACAAAATATCTGCAGCACCCGCAATTCAAAATAAATGAAATCTATAAAATCCTCAGAGTATGTAAGCTTTTGTCTCTCTAAAGCCTATGGTATCCCAATGAAGCAGCATAACACAAAACTGTCTTCTTAACAACAGTTTTCACATCCTAATAGCAGAAGAAAGAGCATTCCAAGATAATGTAAAACCATCACGCAAGGTTAAAGGTCCACCTGTTATGTATTTCAGACTCCAAATCTTAGAAAAAAAGATTTCACTAGAGCATAATCAATACATCAGTAGTATATGCCTACTGAGAATACAGCAGGCAGAAAATACTTGCTGAAAGATTGGCTATATGAAGTAAAGCTCATAATTTGGTAGGAAATAAAATTTTACATCTTCAAATCTCATAAACTCTAGTTGTTAGGCATTTGCTCTGTCTGAACATTGGGCTTGGTATCAATAAAGAAACAAAAACAACCAATTCATTTATGTATATTGATATCCAGTTACTGTGGATGATTCAAAGAAAACATATTTCTTGTGCCTTTCCATATTTGGAACACAATGCCTACCTTGAAAAAGCTGGCAATTTAAGTAAAAATGAATACTAAATATTCTTTTTAAAAAAATTAACCGGGAAAAGATATTGGTCCCTTAAGATTATTTCTGAGAAATTGTCTAATTGTTTAGCATCAGAGCATAAAACACACAGCCTTGAAGGTGTCTATTTGTGACAGCTCAGATACTCATCAGAGGAAGCCAGGGAGAACACTAATAAAATTTAAAAGGACCTTTGGAAATTTTAGTACTTCAATACAATTTTTTTATTAGGCGCTTTAGATTCTGTGAAGCCTCCCAGTTACTCAAATTGGCAGTCCTAAAATAACTTTGTTTCCAGTTCACAGGGATTAAAAATCAGAGATAAAAACAAAACAATACAAAACAAAAACCAGAAGCTTAGCCCTAATGACACTTCTGTTCAACTCTGTGAAACTGTGCTGACAGCCTAGCCTTATTTCCTTTAGATCTGGTTACTGTCTTTAAAGGATTCAATATATCCAAGCCTCAACCTACAAAAAAATACCTTAAAGTAAATAAAATATTATCATAAATATTTTTCACAATAAAAGAATTAAAACAGAAAATTTAAATGATAATTTTTAAAATCAGAATTACATTTTAATTTTAAATAAATGCAACACATGTCAATTTCTTCTTTTTCCAATAGTGAGCTTTGGTGTTACTGTCCATGGTGACACATACTGGCTATATCGGGCAACAACACCACTGTAGAAACACTCTAGTTTTATTTTATTTCTATTTCTTGGTGGCAGATTTGCTGAAGTGGCTTTATTTTTCATGTCCAACTCTTTAGCAATTATGAGTTGCACTTATTTTGAAGCCATGGCACCAAAATCACACAAGAAAAATCGGGGGAGGGGGCAGGGGGGAGTAGATGCTTTAGTCCTTCAGATATGTTAAATCAAACTCTGTATCTCATTTGCCTTCATCTGTACTTCACCACATGTGAATCTAGCCTTTCCATACATGTTTGGCTACCTTTTAGAAGCTCATATACAGCATCTCTCCACAAACCAATCTTCAAAAGCTTTGATAAATCAAAGTTGAAAGATTGCTGCATTGGAATTTGCTTCTGACTACAAACCACATTTAAATATACTTTGAAATGTAAATATTTTGCATAGCCAATGTCCACTGACTTCCAAAAAAAAAGTTTTAAAATCCTAAGTATATTATTAACGGTGATACAAGGTATACGTCTAGAATAACATTTACTTGAAGTGTTTCAAAATATTTTCACGAAAATATTATTCCCTTTCTCTTGTCATTGGTGGAGAAGGAAGAATGATGATTTTTCAATGATGAATCTTGTCTCAAATATAGTATGTTTGTAATATACAATAGGTAGAAATACTGAAAAAAAAAATCCTAAGTATATTATTAACGGTGATACAAGGTATACGTCTAGAATAACATTTACTTGAAGTGTTTCAAAATATTTTCACGAAAATATTATTCCCTTTCTCTTGTCATTGGTGGAGAAGGAAGAATGATGATTTTTCAATGATGAATCTTGTCTCAAATATAGTATGTTTGTAATATACAATAGGTAGAAATACTGAGAAGTACTTTTCCAGAAAGCTATGCTCATAAAGAAATTCCTCCCCGCAGGGCACCACTGTCCCTGAAACTTTCAGAGATCAGTGTGTTAACCAGTGTGTGCTATCCTATTTCCTACCTAAATCAATTTCACCCAAATGAGGCGTTTGTGTTACAATTAATTGTTCCCCAGACTCTAAAATCAAACCATCTGCCATCGGAGTTTCTGTTCGGTAATTAAGGGACTATCCATTAGAACTGGCAAGAGCACAAAGTAAGGAGGAGGAGGACGCCCGAGGGGAGAAAAACCAAGTCACTTAAAAAGAGAAGGGGGGTGTGTGTCTCGCACTGAGCCCTCCACACCTCAGCTCAGATACTGTCATCCATGAGGCAATACCAAGTTACGGGGAGCGGCGAGGCCAACTTCTCTAGGGATCATCTGGACCGAAACCGCACTGGGCACTCAGCACGCTGGATCCTACCTTGAAAGAGAAAGGCTTTCGTCCCATTATGCAGCCCCGGGACCTGGCGCACTCCGGCCGTGGACTCCCCGAGTTCCAACTCTGTTAAGACGTCGATCTGTAGGGAGGGGTCCACACCAAGCCCCCAAACTGGTGAGAGTTGGGATGGGGGAGGAAAGAAAGAAAAAGCTCCATCAAAACACAAGCCTCTTCTTCCAGGACAGCAAAGAGCCGTGTCTTCGCGACAGTACTGGGAACTGAGGAGAGGCAACTCCCTCCGCCGCCGCCGCCGCCGCCGAAGCCTTACCTGAGATCAGCGGCCAAGCTTCAAACAGCGGAGCCCCCAATCCCCTTCCCGTGACCTACTTTAAACCTGTCTCCGTTCAAAGTTCCCTTCAGCCCTCACACCCTGGCCTAGGGGCGTGACCCCCTCCCCATGTCCAAGGCAAACACAGAAAAAAATCTAAATCCAAGCCCGCCCCCCCCTCGAGCTTCCCACTCCAGACCTACTTCGGGTCCCCCGCCCCAGCTCTGCGGCCACTCACCTGCTCCGAAACCGAAGAGCCAACAGAATGTTCTCAGTAAGACCCGAGACTCCATGGTGTGGATCTTCTCAGTCCATCGTCTCCCTCTTTAAAAATAAAAATCGTAGAGGTTCTTGGAATCAAGCGGGAAAATAGCGTGTGCCTCTCCTGCCACTGCCTCGGAGACACTGATCCGCAGGATTGATACGATTCGGTTGCCTAAGAAAGAAAAGGGAGGCCCCCCCAGGCGCGTGAAGAACTTGGACCCTCCGATGCGCGCATCCTTCCCACACGCGGGCGGCGCGGGCTGGGACGGGGCCGGGAGGGA